CCCCCTGGCCAGGTCCCTGTGGAGGCTGCTCTGATGGTGTCACCAAGCCCTCCTGGCTAGGTCCCTGTAGAGGCTGCTCTGCTGGTGTCACCAAGCCCCCTTCGCCAGGCCCCTGTGGAGTCTGCCCTGGTGGGATCTGCCGTTCTGTGGCTTCCTTAGCCCTGCTCTGGAGCAAGGTACCAGCCCTGCCTGAAGTAGTTGACTGGGTACACCCTGTCCCCTTTCCATAAACCTGGAAAACCTACTAGAACGGAACCTGGAGCTCCTCATACCTGTGTCTGGGACCAGGTCTGCCAGGGGAGTCTGGGGCAAACCCCAGAGGGACAGGCAGAGGATGCATTTATTGAGTGTCCACCACACGCGAGACACTGAACCAGGGTCTTCACGGCATCATGTTGTTGGCTCGGTAAAACCGCCCTGTTGTGGAAAGGGCCCTCCCCCTGTCTAGAGGCAGGAACTTGCTCCAAGAGGTTGGCTGCTCTGCCAGAGGCTGCACAGTTCCAGGGAGCAGAGTGTCCAGGCCGTGCCCATCTCAGTGCCACTCCCCACTCCCCAGCAGCCAACACCTGCTGTCCTGGACCCTCAGCGTCTTCCTTCTCCCCAGCTTAAACACAGAGTTACTCATGCCCAGCCCTCCCCTGCCTCATCCTCCTGCTTGGAACAGATGAGCAGCCCTGGGAGGGCTACTGTTTTGTGGGGTCGACGACCTTGCCCAGGAAGAGGATATTCTGGGTGTTGGTGGAAAAGAGCACCACAAGGAAGGGCTGGTTGAACTGCAGGACATGCTCATTGATCTGGGCAGACAAAAATGTGAACCCGAAGCTGGTGGCTGCTGCGGCCTTGGTCCCGGCCTCATCCACGTGCAAGGTGGCCTTGTGGAAACTCTGGGAGGAAAATCACAAGCATTATCTCCAAGACAGCAAGAGAGGGGCCTGGACAAGACTGCGAGAGCTGGAAACTGCTAGGGAATAATAATATTGAACTTTCCAGCCTGCAAGGCCACTTGTTGGGAATAACACAGCAAGAATTTCATTTGGGTGGATTTTGAGCTGGAGACCTCCTGATACACACAATCATTAAATGAGCACTTGCTCTCTGCCTGGGGCTTAGTATGAATCTTATTTGATCTTTGTAGCCATCCTATGAGGTCAGCAGTATAATGTCCACTTTAAAAGTGAGGAAAATAAATTCAGAAACTAGCACCCTTCAATCACATAAGAGGAAGAACCAGAATTCAAGCTCTCGAACCCAAGACTCTACCCCCTTGCACACTTTTCTTAGCTGCAGTCTTGAGTCTTTCTCTTATCTACAAAGTCTCCCTAATACAGAGGCACCCAAGGCAGCCTCAGCTATGTCTCTCCTCTCTGTTCTCTTTTTTTTCCTTTTTTCTTTTTTTTGATATGAAGTCTCATTCACTCCGTCACCCAGGCGGGAGTGCAGTGGCGTGATTTCTGGATACATTGCAACCTCCACTTCCCAGGCTCAAGTGATTCTCCTACCTCAGCCTCCCAAGTAGCTAGGCTTACAGGTACCAACCACCCACCATCACACCAGGCTAATTTTTGTATTTTTAGTAGAGATGGGGTTTCACCCTGTTGGTCAGACTGGTCTTGAACTCCTGACCTCAGGTAATTCACCTGCCTTGACTTCCCAAAGTGCTGGGATTACAGGCATGAGCCACCACACCTGGCCGCTCCTCTGTTTTCTATCATTGCATTTATCTCTCTGTGAAGACGTTGTATCCCCAACTAGACTGGGAGAGCTCTCTGAGGGCAGGGGCTGGTTTGACACTGTATCTCCAGCACCGAGCACCATGTCCAGGGCTGGCCGATGGGTGGATGCTGATGCCTGTAGATGACTGAACACACTCAGGCTCTAAGACTTCATGTGGCAGCATAGGAGCCCCATTACCTGGCAGCTCTCATGGGCACAGAAGCCCTAACGAGTTCTCTAGGGGTTGCTGACTCTTGATGACTTACCGTGGGTAGCTGCAGTTTTTGCTGTTTGCTGATGCCAGATAAGTCAGCCCGCTGGGAGAACAGATCCGTAAAGCCCAGCCTAGGCAAAATCTGATCTAACACATAGGAGCCAGAAATAGAGAACTTGGGGAAATACAACTTTAGCTTCTTGTAAAAAATCCTGAAAGAGGCATTGGGTTAAAACATTAGATTAACGAACAAGCCAGGATCCCTGCTGGGCAGAGACCTCCTTGGTGGCCCTCTCTAGCTGGCTGTATTCCATCTGAGTTCTGTCCCCACAGACAGCTTTGGCTGAGACCACATCCCACAAATGAGTGTTGAAAGGCCAGATTCCTTTGCCCTAAGGGCTTGCTGTCTGTGGGATCTCCTGCCCTTGGGAACCCCTCTTTGGAGGTGGCTTTCTGTGGGTGTTCAGGTACCCAAGGAGACAGATGTCAGTCTCGTCAGGTGGCAGTTTTCCCTTTGCCTCTTGTATGACCCTGTGGGCTTCACTCTTTGAATCAGTTAATTTCTTTGGATTGGATTCTCTCCACCATGGGAGTTGTGTGAATTTTCTATCCCCATGTGCCCTTGGGCTAGGATCCTTTTCCTACATACGGTTGAAGACTTTCTGCAATCATAGCCAGAGTGATGGGAAGCTTTCTTGTTAATTCCCTGGGTGGATGGCTGGAGTTATTTTGAACCCCACTATGGTAGCTTAGTCAACCTTCATGGCCAGAGGGGCTGCTCCTTCGTTGCACAGAGGTAACCCCCAGAGAGGCAAAGTCACTCAACCCAAGTCTTGTGCAGTGGAAGAGCTGCCTGGAACTCAGACTCTGAACTCCTGTTGTGGTTCTTTTTCCCCTTATGAGGGGAAGTCATATTTTAAATATAACAGGAGAGTTCATCGTTTAAATGGAAGGTGTTAGAGCAAGTGAGAATTCTTTCATAATTTGGTGATCATTCCCTATTTTGAGGCACTGCCTTTCATCAGAGAGGTACACTTGATGGACAGTACTGTAGATTCAGCCCCCACAGCATGCTGATTACCTCTTTTGCAACAAGTTGTTCCACCTCATTAGCATCTCTGGAGTCAAAACCTCTTCGATCTCCCTCATTTTGCCTTGGTTAGGAAGAATAAAAAATGCAGTTGCGTTTCCTTTGTAATCCATCCGTAGCACCGAGCAGGGCAAGTGTTGGTCACGAAGGTACCAGTGGTACTCCTGGTCCTGCAGCATCATGGGCACCCTGACTGTTGTATGCTCATCAACATAGAAGTTCCGGGTAATGGTCCTGGAGGAACTGAATGGTTTCTCCCACCGTCCTGAAAGGAAGATGAAAAGAGGGTACAGGACATCTGCGGGCCACAGAGCCAGTCCTCCAGCCAGGGAATGCCACCTGGGGTTCCGAGCCACTGAAATAGTCACTCCAGATCCTGCCCTCTGAGCCCATCAGGGTGTCCCATTTTGACCATTCAAAACCTGACAAGCCTGAGGAATGGGTCCTTTAAGCCTCATTTAACTTTTTTAAAATGATAGATAGCAGAGGATGTTAGTTTGCTAATATGTAAATCAGATTGATAGAGTAGAGAAGAAACCAGCGATGCTGGAAAGAAGGGTTCATTGTTAGGTGAGCGTCCGTGAGAAGGAGAGAGGAGATGGCAGAGGGTGAGCAGAGAGGTCGGCCTTCTGTAAGAGGTGGGTCACTACCGCCATGATCAGGGGAGGGCATCTGAGCTTGTGGTTTCAAATGCAGGCAGGTGAGTAGATTTGAAGGTGAGTAGATTTAGAGGTGAGAAGATTTGGAGGTGAGTACATTTGGATGTGAGAAGATGAGGGATTTCCTATTTAACTGACTCTGTTTTCTCAATGAAGAGTGACATAAGATGGTTAAGTGAAAGTCATGAGTGGGGAGGACATTTGAGAAGGACAAATCTGTTATGGTTGTTGTGGAGAGCAGAGAGATGTGTAAGTAGGATTGCGGGAGAGTGTGAGGACGTCTGTGAAGACCTGCGTTCACAAATACCGTGTGAGACCATCAGCCCAGTGGGATGTTTTTCTTCAACCATGCTCAGCTGCTGGTACAGATACAGACTAGTTAGATCTTTAGGTTTAAGCAGGCTTGCGGCTTTGGAGGGTAAGCAGACTAGAGGGATGGAAAACCAAGGAAGTAAAGAGTGTTTGAAAGAAATGACCACAATGATGGCCATAGACTCTCTGCAGTGTGAGGAGGGAAGCAAGGACAGGAGGTGATGTGCAGTGAGGTGATGGTGGATAGGGTGAATGGACTGAGGTCTCCACGCCAGGAATTTTAGTCCAGAAAAAAGCAAGGGATCTGGGATTCCAACCAATGTCTTCCTGATAGTGAAACCCATACTACTGTTTCCCTTCCTTCCTTAGTTAATCTTTTTTTGAGTTTAAAAGTTTTGTTATTTCAAAGCAAAACTTTTTTTTGAAGACGGAGTCTCATTTTAGCCCCCAGGCTGGAGTGCAGTGGCACAATCTCAGCAACCTCCACTTCCTGAGTTCAAGTGATTCTCCTGCCTCAGCCTCCTGAGTAGGTGGGATTACAGGCATGCACCATGAAGCCTGGCACACACACACACACACACACAC